TCACACAGAGTATGCATACTGAAGCATTCCTGCTTTGTTTAAGAAAAGTTATTTGGATACAGCAGATGTGTGTGTGTGTGTGTGTGTGTGTGTATATATATATATATATAAAATATTAAAATAAAAAATGTAAGAACCAAATAAGATGAATCATAATAGTGAAAGAATTAGTGCGTAATTATGTATTAATTACTAATTATAGGAATACATACTAGGCCAGACACTGAAAAATAAGATATCTACCAAGATTTAAAAAATAACTGTTCAAAATATAAAGCTAGAACTTGAGTAGCAATGACATTCAATATTAATTTTCTCAGTGACAATAATCTACATTTTCTGTGGTCTGTAAACTGTCTGGTTGACTGCCATAAACATTGTGTTAAAATTTCAGATCAATGTCACATACTTTCAAATCCAGGGAATGATTTAACCATAGCGTTGCAGGACATATTCCACAGAATGTAATACATTTTCTAAAGCACTGCTATACGAATTATCCTACAGAAACATGTGTAGAATTTTTCTGTTTCAGTCTAGGCTCCCAAAAATGTTTTGGACTGTGATTGTGAAGCACATTTAAATAGTAAAGGAAATAATTTTAATTACTGCTGTAAAACCATGTGTAGGGTAATTGTTCTGACAAATTATGCGTTCACAACAATGCAGTTACAATGCCTTTCCTTCACCTCTTAACTACGTGTATGACAGAATTCTCCCTGCATCACTAGTGAGGAAGCTTTATAATAGGCTATGGAATGGTCTGCAGAACCGTAAGGAGTTTCTGTGGCAAGAGTGTCATGATCACTTAAATACAATTAACACATATGCAGTGGTAATGAAGATATACGAATTGCTGGCACTATCATGAAAATGTGCAACTAAACTCACTGCACTGCTATGAGCACAACTAATATTAAAACTACTCCAGTCCAGGAATCATGAATTTGCCAATACCTATAATCCATTTACATTAATCTTATAACACTGGCTTCACCACTGTTCGTATTGAGAGGGGGTGGGTTTCCCCATGCACTTAGACCAGTTATTGGTCCATTGTGCGTCCCCCTTTAATTTCTACTGTCGCCATACCCTACTGGTAACGGTGCGTGCCATCAGCCCCTGTAGAGCCAATGAGGTCGTCCCCCGGTATCTTGATTCTTCCCCCATCCACCAGAGGCACTGGAGACTACTTGGGCAGGAAAGAGCCTGTAATTTAGCTCAGAGGTCTCCTAGAGACATGAGGTTCTTTTACATGCCGTAAATCTACGACACAGGACACACGGCTTAAAGTGCCTCCCGGAGGACTTGTTCCCTGAATTTTTCAGCCCTTAAAAATTCCACGACCTCTGCCAGGTTTGAACCCGCGTACCTTGAGTCATGAAGTGGGAACGTTTCACCGTTACTAACAAGAATTTTTAAAATGACAAAATTATATGGTACCTTCATAACTGCATGTATGTGTAGCAATGAAGAGCAGGATTGCAATGATGAACCGAAACGGACACACAATGAAGCCCTCATAATCTACTGAACACATTATCCTAGAACTTGACTGAAAGGACTGAGGAAAGCCACAGAAAGTGTCAAGTCAGGATATTCAGTCAATGGGCACTGATTCTGAGCAGGATCTCTTGAATACAAAGCAGCAAGACCAACCACTCAAACACTGGCATTTGGAAAACATCAACTTCAAGAAGAACCAACATATGAACATCATGAATCCCACTGTTGTTTTCGATATATTCACTACTTTCAATATATTAATTTTGTTGGTTATATAAATGATGTTTAGGTCACATGGCAGTTTGAACATGAGTGAGGAAGCAGACAGGCAATGTACTAAGACACATGCATAAGGCTGGCTGACTCTTGGATTACTTAATAATAATGCATCAGTGGTTATATGCAGGCTCTTGTGAACATGGTAATGACTCTTTTGATTCTATAAATTATGGGAAATTTGATTAGTTTGGCATCTATTGGCTTCAGAGGATAGATTCTGCTACATACAGTTATTTACTATCATCATTATGCAGCATAAAATTATATGCTATGATGATAATGCATGGTTAACTAAAAAAAAAGTGGAAATTTCCATAACCTACTTCAAGTTACTATCTTGGCATTCAGCAGGAACTAAAGAAAAGAAAACTATGGACAATTCAGGACATCCAACATTCCAGTGGAAAACTGAATTGGGCAAATCCCGAATATAAGAAAAGACACTGATCACTATACTGTGATGTACAGTTACATCTTATAAAAGCGGCCTCCGTAGTCTAGAGGTAACGTTCCCACCTCATGACTCGTGGTACGCGGGTTCAAATACCCGGCGGAGGTCGTCGAATTTTTAAGGGCGGAAAAATTCAGGGAACAAGTCCTCCGGGAGGGACTTTACGCTGTGTGTCCCGTGTCGTAACTTTACAGCACGTAAAAGAACCTCATATCTCCAAAGGGGATCACTGAGCCAAATTCCAGGATGTTTCCCACCCAACAATAGCCTCTAAGGCCTCTGACAGATGGGGGAAGCATTATAGTAACCGCTAAGCAAGTGGCCGAACTCGCTTGCTCGGCGGGACTGATGGTACGCACCATTTATCGGTAGGGTAAAGAGACTGGTAAATATCATAGAGGGAAGCACAATAGATCAAACTGGTCACGGTGAATGGGGAAACCCACCCTCTCTAAATAACTGACTACAGCTTATAAATATAAGAATATTGCACAATCTTGAGAACTGTTAACACATATTTTGGAAACCCAACTATAAACAATGGACTTAAATTCTGAATGGGGTTCTTAACTGGTATAGTGACAGTAATGAAACTAATTGAATGTCTCAGGAGATGAACCCCGTGTCACAAAAAGAAAAAACAGGCAGCTGAAGAAGAGAAAAATGAAAGGATTTCCACAGTATAACTGGTTCTATTGCAAGTCAAAATTCTTTAGAATAAGTGAAAAGTTAAACAAATGAGTCTGTCACCAAAATAAAAATGCAATGACAGTCAGTGGAACACTGTTCATAAATATGGCACATGTATATTTTTACAATGCTCAAATGGTAGGAAAATACTTTCCTGCTTCATTGATTTTTATTGGCTGAATGTTGCATTATTGTAATGATGAATACACATTCTTTGCTTAGTGGGGGTGGAGTCCAGCTGGGTTCACTCAGCACGGCGGTCACTGATTTGCCTATTGTACCTGCCCTGGGTGATTATGACGACAGGGAATTTGGTAGAATGAAGATTGGCAGGGGAAATCAAAGTACTCAGAGAAAAACTGCCCCAGCGCTACTTTGTCCACCACAAATCCCACTTGACCAGACCCGGGATCGAACCAAGGACGCCGCAGTGGGAAACCAGGGACTAGCCGCTTGAGCTATGGCGTAGCCTCGATGCATACACATGGTCAAGTTGGCAGACTGCTGCATTTTCGTGAATATTAATATCATTATACAAAGTTGCAATCTGGCTGAGGCCTCATACTACTGGGAGACTTAAAATTCAGCATTCCTTGATAATAAAGATTAAGTACCCCTTCTCTGTTTTTATTCCATATTTCGAGCAAATTTTATCGAGAGAGAAGTAGTAACATCCAACATGAAGAAATATGAAACACAATAATTAAACATGCGAAGATCAGAAAGTAACAATGAACGGAAATAAACACCTTACTAATATAAAACATATGTATGACCCCAATCTGCATCTTTTGTAGTCCACTGCCACATAGAAGCTTGACTTCATAGCAACACACAGTGAGCAACATTACTGGACTGCAATGGTTAATTAAAGTAGGCCTAATGCGTAGACATCCATTTTATTTTCCTTTAGCAGAAATTAATTTTTTTTTTGATTAACAAAATTTTGCTATATATAAAATATGGCTCTGATACGAAAACAAAATATAGGATTTTAATGGAAACTTCACGTCTTTTATGCAAATGATTTTACTAGTAAAAACAAATCAGTCCTCTCTATATCATCTCATCAATTACTAACTCCTGGTACTTTGGGCCTGCAAGGTTGGCATTAATATTATGTGAATGATGGGCGTTTTCTCATTGTTTTTCATCATGAGGCCTCGAACACCCGGGGAACGCTATAGGACCACCAACCTCACATTTATAAAGTTCATCAATAGATGATGGCTGGCCCTGCTGCTGGGGTTGACCCCCAGGATTTGTTGGAGTATTTGTACCAACATTATTATTAACAGCATTTGCTGCAGCATTCTGATTGGCAGATGCAGCATTATTTGAGGTATTAGGACCAGTTCTACCATATTTCTCATGTATGCTACGGTGCCTTTTAAGAGCAAAACGATCAGAGAATCCGACATCACAGATGTCACAACGATGGGGTTTTTCTCCCGTGTGGACTTTGGCATGATTTTTGAGATGCGTAGCCTGGTTAAATGCTGAACCGCAAACATCACACCTGTATGGTTTCTCGCCTGTATGTATCCGCCTGTGGTTCCAAAGTGTTGAATGTCTTGCAAATGTCTTATCGCAGACTTCACACTGATACGGTCTCTCACCTGAGTGGATCCGTTCATGGTTTTTCAGGTGCGGACTCTGCGAGAATTGCATCGCACAGACAGAGCATTTATACGGTTTTTCACCTGTATGGACCCTTGAATGGTTCTTTAAATACGCTGCCTTTGCAAATGCCAATCCACAGGTACCGCATTTGAATGGTTTATCACCTGAGTGGAGGCGTTTATGACTCCATAAGCTGCTATACCTAGAGAATGTCCCATCGCACACATTACAATGGAAAGGTTTATCAACACCAGATGTGTTATTCCTTGAACCACCAATAAAAATTATTCCAGACCCATTACATTTATGACATTTTGTAACACTAGCGACTCCACGACGTTTGACCGGATGGTGACCTGGTTTTATGCCCCCTCCTGCCGTACCTCCTGCCATGTTACCACCAGCATTCGCCTCAGCGCTACTAGCCCCACCACTTCCACTGAAACCTGCTGCAGTGTTTCCTGCATTCCCAGCATTTGCACCTCCAGCATTGATCTCCTGACAACTCTCACACTTTACAAACTTCCCACTACCTTTCTTACCCTTCCCAGCATCATTATGATGCTGGCAGTTAAGTTCCACACCACATGAATCACAACATTTCTGGTGATTATGTGTCTGCTGGGACTGACTGTTCTTACCATGCATACCACTCTTGTGGCTCTTAAGCTCACCAGCAAGACTGAAGCATGCTCCACAGATATCACATGTGTACTGCCGCTCGTTTGCGGATGCTGCCTGATTGTTCTGTGTTGCTGCCGTTGTCACATTTGTGGTGTTATGAATCCTCTTGTGATGGTTCAAGAGTGACAGATGACCAAATACAAGCCCACAAACGTCACACTTGAATGTTGCTGTTGATGCTGCTGCTGCCAAAGACATCTGATTCACAAGAGCATAGTTGTAGCCAAATGGTTGAGCTACATCAAATCTATAACATCCTTTGTCATCACCGGTAATCCCCCCAACAGGAACACCTGCTGTGGAGTTTTGTTGATGGACTTTCTGCAACATGTTGACATTGTAACAAAATGGGAAGTCAGATGCTGTAGCATTATTTGTAGCCTTCTCTTGATCTTTACTCTTGTCTGTAGCATACATCTGTTGGTTGGCTGACTGTTGCTGTTGCTGTTGTTGTTGTTGCTGTTGTTGCTGTTGCTGCATTGTTGAGGGGTCAAACATGTTCGACTCCGTCTTGCAGTTAATTTGTGCTGCGGAAGTTGTGTTACTAGACTCAAGACAGCTTGCGTTATAACGAGATGCCGGATGTTCAGTTTGCGTGAACCTGCAGGAATGAAAAAATTGGTGGGGGAAAAGGATGACAATTCCCCCCAAGACAATTATTGCTCTTCAATTTGAACAGGGGAGATGGAAAGTGAGGCTACATACATGAACATGAAAATTAAAACAAGACAGAGACACCCTTCAAATGGCAAATCATTACGAAGTACGGGGATGGAAAGTAAGATCAAGAAAAACAGGTCAATAATTTTTCTAGTAGTATTCCTTCTGTTCCGCCAAAAATGCATGCAGACTACTCTGGGTGATTCAGCTTACAGCATCACTTTAATACATTTCCTTTACTCACCAATCTTAAATTACTGCTTACTGCAATACTCATTCCACGCTCTATAATACAGGAATACACAGCCACTTTATGCTTTGCACCAATTAGCATACCATAAATTATTTAAATATCAAGAAAAATAGAGAAGGCACAAACTTTTCTTTGTTATAATATTTCCTATTGTATAAAATACCTTAAAAAATTCATGCAGTAACTAATTTACTACTTCAAATGAAACTTTGATATACTGAATCTATTAAGATGAATAAAAACATTCACTGAAGTTTAAAATTCGGAGCAACAATTTTTTAACATAAAAAGTATCGAGTTCCTGTAATTGTTATCCATAATGAGATCTGATTTCTTTTCTCAACAATTTCATTTTTTTTATAGAGTGTGGATGAGAGCATATATGAGTAAGAGGAAGGATATTACTTCATATACAGTCTAGGCAAGTCAGCACTGCTCTGTCCTTTTACAGCAGAACATATATTTGCACATTTGTACACAATCATAATAATATAATTTCTGTATCACACTGAAAGCTCTTACTCTCACAGAACTTCTTTGATATTGCATGTTCCATGGAGAACATTATTAATACAAGTACTGAACTGAGTATCAATATTCTTTAATGATATATATCATTAAAAATGAACATTACGAAGAGCTACTAATCTTCATATTGAAAATAAACTGAAGCTATGCAGAAAGGCAAAGACAAAAAAAATGCAGTTTCATTTGAAAAAAAAAGTTAAGGTACTCAACAAAGTCTTCTTGAGAGATTAGCTGTGTCAATCTGGGTTAATACAATGTTTTGGAGACTGCAGCTGTCAAGGTCATAGCCTCATGCTGTAATTATATGAATGGTGGATGCTCTCAGCTCTCCCAGCTCATACCACTGAGGGAACAGTTGGTGGAATCAGGCTGCGAGTCATCACAATCTATGTTACATATCACTGGTTCTTCTTTCTTTCATCATGCTCATCACTATGTACTACGAATAGCTTACAGGGTATTCCACATCCATTTTGAAGTTATGTGGATGGTATCTAGATCCCAATGGCCTCCTTCATTAAGATGTCCATGCAGTCTGTCCTTCTGGCCAGTACTGGGGTAGATGGGTTAGATATTTTATGATTTTCAGTATTGCTGACTACATCACATCAAATGGCAAGATGATGGATGAACTGGAAGGGATCTGGATGAATGTGGTCATTACCTAATTTTTTTTTTTCAAATTCACTTAGTGGGGGGTGGAGTCCAACTGCGTCCACACGGCACGGCAGCCACTGATTGGCCTATTGTAGCCTGCCCCGAGTGATTATGATGATGGAGAATTTGGTGGAATGAAGACTGGCAGGGGAAACCGAAGTACTTGAAGAAAATCCACCCCTGCGCCACTTTGTCCATCATAAATCCCTGTTGACCAGACCCGGGATCGAACACAAGCCGCCGTGGTGGGAAGCCAGTGACTAACCACTTCAGCTATGGTGTGGCCAGGTGGACATGACCCAACTATGCTGAGAGCCTAGAATTTGCCCAAGGGTACTGAATAAAATCGTGAAAAACCTCAGTCAGTATATTTAACATCCAAACCAAGATTTGAACTACGCACCTGCATATTCAAGTCCAGAGTGACACTACTGTGGTGTTCTTGAAGTTTATCCAATGCTCTGCCACAACAACAGGCTACATGAACCACTTAGTGATAGAAACCATAGAGGTTTAGCTGTTCCCCAGTAAATTCAACATGGATATGGGATTTCCTATAAACCATTCACAGTACTCAGGCATGAGGATTACTCAGCAAGAGTCATCAAAAACCATCATAAAGAAGGACCAATGACACACAACATGGACTGTGGTGGCCAAACACATGGCTCCGTCCACTGTTCCGCCATTTGTCTGCACCAGGACAGAACACCAATGATCACCTGCCTCCATCCACTGTACCCTGTCACATGCATTGGGGCATACAAGAACATGTTTCGTGGCTACAGTACAACATGCAGTTACAACACTCAATGCATCAACCCCTGATGAAGGAGATGGGGTCAGTCCTCAGTCTCCAAAATACTAACTTCATGCTGACATGGCTGATCGCCCAAAAAGACTTAATTATATACAATTACCATGAAAGCTTCAAATCACATACGAGGTGCTACTACCTGATGCAACACCTTTAAAAAATGAAGAAATGACCACTCTCCAAAGAAAATCCAAAATGGATCCATTGTGTGCCTAACAAACAACATGTGAGGGCACTGAAAATAAGTATCCACTACTAAAAAAAATGTTTAAATTCGAACATCCTAACGTATGCCAGAATGTCAAATGACACTGGTCCTCAACCTGATGACAGGAAAATAAACTCACAGGTCTCTCTCTCCCCCCTCCCCCCTCTTGCTTTGTTTTATTTCAGTTTCTTAATCCTAAGATGAAGTAAAGCTCTCCCTGTAACAGGTCATGGAGGCCCATAGGGTCGAGAGATGAGGCTCCCATATTTTCAAGAATATCAGCTCACAAATGGCGGTGAGGTTATCAGCCTTATATATCACCTGCCCTTTACCCCCGGGAAGATTCCTGATACTCATTTCTGTTAGAGGCTCAGTTAACCCCAGGGCCATAGTGCAGCTAGAAGGATTGGGTCCATTGAAAAATCCAGTGACATCAGGAATCGAACCCATGACCTTCCAGTTTGTAGCATAGTACCTGATCCAACTACACTACCAGTGCCCCTCATGAGGCAGTAAACATCTATAAATCACATGCAATTCACACAATCTGTTTTGCCATCACAAGAAGAAAGTCATGTATCGCCAAAACAAGTAACACTGAAACACAAGTGACATTTCTCCATGAAGACTTTCAATAGGCCAATGTCATATCTTTGTTTTCACTCTTTTCCTGAGTTCTTGACTGTGGAAAAGGGTCAATATGACCAATACAATGTAGTGTGACTCCATTTCCATGAATGTCACAGAATAACTTACAAGACAGTGCATGGCGAAGAAGCATCTGCCTTTCCTGACGTTGGCATGACTAGGCAAGAAGTAAAATATGGTGGATCTTTGAAGAAAATTTTGGACAATGCTGATAAATCAAATGAAAAATCACTGTACATTAGTAGCAAAAGGCAACCTTGTCATGACTGTTAACTCTATAAAGACATGACATAAAGTTACTGCTGCAATATCACTAAATCATGTTATGTTGTTAATACTTTATAGCAGTGGTTCTTAACTTTGAGGTAACTGACCCCCACAAAGGAGTAATTTGGCACAATTCAAGTGGTAATGATCTGGTCAGCTACATATGGTTCTAATAAAATGAGATCAGCAGGACAATTTTATTAAACTGAACACAGAGACACGAACTCCCAACAGAATTTTTGTAAAAATTTTAAAATACCAGTGAAAAGGAAAAAAAACCCTTGGAAGTCCTCTATAATTACAGGTAGAGCTAAAGGTAAAGACAAAGTTATCCCTGGGCTTAATTAATTAAGCACCAAGCCACAAACATGTATGTGGGAGTGGAAGTACAGCTCCACCATTCTTAACCTTGGCCCTAGATGGAGGTGACTGGTCAGCCTCATGCCCCAGCCACTTTTGCCCAGGGGAAACAGTCCCCATACACACTGTATAGAGCCATAATTTAAAAATATAACAGGCATTCAATCTGGTTTACTGAAATGGCAACACTGCAAAAAGATGTTATGAACCACTGCTCTACAGAGATTGCTACTAGCACTGCATCAGTGATACTGCAGCTGAAGTGAATGTGGAAAGTATTTTTGAAATAAAAAGTGCTGTATTGAACATAAGAGAAATTTTAAAATATTTATATTTTAGATGATGTATCATACTGTTCACATGCAACAAAATGTATCATACTATATAAGAATAACACGTTTACAATAAATACAAGACAATAGAGGATGAAAGAAATTTCACTATCAACAGTGATGGGTAAAAAGATACAGCTGAAACAATCCACAATAAGAAGAAAATTTGTTAGAGATACAGGCATTACTACGATGCAGATCTGTAAAATATCTAAAATTCCCTAATGATTACAGGTTTCTTTCCAAAGCAAGAAAATATTTTAGTTTAAGAGTAAAAGGTGGATAAAAATTATCTTAGTTTCACGCAAATATGGTAAAGATATGAGACGTAATTCACTACATGACACAAATTGTCATCATTTTTATTTTAGTTAATAAATTCCTTAGGTGTGTTGGCATCACTGTAATGACATTTCACTGTAGCTGATATAAAATCAACAACCAAACATTCTGCCATGATAAGTTTGAAGTTGCCTGTCTTTCTTGTAAACTCTTAACATTATTCACATTTTTTAGGCTGATAAAAACAGAGCTCTTAATCTGCCAATCGCACTCTTAAATTATGAACAAATAGTCCTTCAAACTGAAAGTCCTTTCCTTTGATTTCATAAGTTTGTTAGGTATACCTGCATGCTTTCTCTCCTCATTCAGAAAATACAATTTCTCAACACGAGATGAAACAAATCAAGACTACGTAAGTGTCTGACATAAACATAATATGTTATCTGACAAATATTCGGATAGTTCCAGGACATGACACTGATCTCAAATCTAAGGATCCCCTAGATGCAACTGCCTTCTTCAAAATATTTTCCTTCAGTGGCTACACATGTCTGACAGCATTCATGTAGTTGTCTGAAAGATTTCTGGAAGTCACCACACGTGAGCTCCTACAGCTCAATCTTCTCACTTTAACATCAGCTGCATCCTTTAAGTGACAATCCTCCATTCGAACAAAAAAAAAAATCACGTGGTGTGAGGCTGGAAGAGTAAGGTGATGGGGAAGCATTGCAGTATCAGGCTTGGTAATCTGCTAGCGTACAGGCAACAATCAATATGCTACAACAGTAGCAGAAATATCCAGTCTCAGACAGACAATGTTTTCAGATGCTTAAGGTGATTTTTCCCCAGTCTAGAAAACCGAAATTAATGGCCGTAGGGATTCGTTGTGCTGACCACGCGACACCCTCTATCCACTAAAGTTGGCACTAACTTCGCCAACAAACAGCGGTCGCTTAGTCAGTATAGTTTGCTTGCGGACCAAAACCATGAAGGAATAGTAGTAGTAAGGTGATTTTTCTCAGATAGACAGATTAGCACTTCCTACTACATTTCCTTGTTGATCCACAAGAACATAAAAACTCAAGGTGCCCCATTCCCTGCCAGTCAGAGAAAAGACTTCCAATATCATATTCTCTTCTGCATGATCCTGCAAGAACTCTGTGGCTACTGAGGAACACCAGGCTTCATCACCTTTTGTCAGGTAATCTATCAGAGAAAATCACATCACTATCTGCTGCAATGATGAGCTCACCACTGTCATGAAGTACTTGTATTGTTTCTGCATCAGCACAGTTGATATATGTCATGTGAGATCAGATCAAGATTCTGATTTTCTCTGCAATCTCCTCTCCTCTTGCTGTCTGTTGATCAGAAAACACGGCACATCCACATCTTCATTCCTCAATGGTGCAGACTGTCCTATGTGTGGCTCATCTTCCAATAACTCATGACTGTCCTTGAACGTATGTTATTCTGACACTTTGTACTGGAACATCATTCACTGCACAGGGTCTCACAGCCACATCTTCAGCACCCATTTTACAAATGTCTGTCAAAATTTTATGTTAGCAGATAATTTGGGATGATCCATATCCCCATCTTCAAATATTTCCTGCACAGGACTCTTTCTTTGAGACTCATCATGCCAGCTAGTGTAACAGTTGGGGACATTCATGTCAGGATATATACGTGAACATGTCCCAGTATACCTGCTACAATGTTGCTGTGTTTCTTTCTGTCCTAGAACCAGTTTAAGTTACCATGTATATGCTGCAAGGCACTGAGCAAGAATGCTAGATAGTTGAGTCACACCTAACAGTGAAATGCAAAGAATTAAAGATAAATATGAACTGAAGCGAATCCTGTTAGTGATTTAAAGAGAGTATAGGTTAGAACACACTCAAACTTTTGATAAGGAAATTATATTATGAACATGAACTGCATATATGTTTTAATTACAAATTTCTCATGCAAAGGTGCCATCATCACTCTGCAAACTGAATTACTGGACAGAAGCAGTTGAATTACATATGGGCTTTTAAAATGGTTAACAGTTAGTAACTGCTTTAAATGTAACACCATACTTATTAGAATTCCACACATACTTGAAGAACACATGACTGAGTTTGTGAGGGCATACATATGACAAGTTTCCATCCTAAAATTATGTCTGCTATTATTAGCTCTATGTAACCTCAAACAATACTACACATCTTCACGAGCACCTATGCTTCAGCAGTTTCCTACAATGAAAAACAAGTATCAATGAATAGCCTTTTATGTCTAAGAACAAAAAGTTGGAAAATAAAAAAGCAACTTGGGGGGATGTATGAATTAATACTCACCATTATTCCTCATCATTGTTGTGTGAATAAGGGTCCATAAGATGAACATTTCCATAACTTCTGCTTCTACATAATATTAGTGAAAGGACATAAATATCATGCAACAGTCACATTATCTACTGAAACCCTGGCTTTAGATCTCATAAGGGGTACTCAGTTTTAGTACCAACTCTGTGGCTTGAGTCCACAAGCGAACTATACCGACCGAGCGACCGCCGCTTGTCGGCAAAGTTAGTGCCAACTTTAGCGGTTAGAGGGTGTCACATGGTCAGCGCAACGGATCCCCACAATCGTTAATTTCAGTTTTCTACACTAGACTAGTTTCAGTATATCACTCATAATTAATTTCGATCAATATAATGATTGCAACAAAAGCTGCAGGGACATAGCAAAAGCTATTTTTGGTCAATTTAATTCTCTAATCTTGATTTGAAATCTTTATCAGAACTATGGATTATAAGTAATGCTGTACTGCTCATGCTGCTTATGTGAAAGACACAATGACAAGAAGAAATTTCCCTCATTCTGTCACATATTAAGATGCTGCAAAAAACTAGAGGCAGAGATGGAAGGGGTGGTCTCTTTCGTGAATGCATGCATGAATTTGGCAGAATACCCAATGATCTGCATAGCCTGCCATACAACCTGCACCCTTGATTTTACAGTGCAAATTAAAATAAAGAACAAATGTGTGGGATTCAAAATAAATATGGTATGGAAAAATTATATACATTTACCATAAATCAATCATCCACATACCTGTACAAAATAATTTAACAGAAGTCCAACCTATTTCACTGTATTTCCCATTGATACTCAATAGTGAAGTCTGTTCTTATACAGAGTGAGTTACCTGTTGGTAGGTTCCGTTTGTGTAAACATAGAGCACTTCCCAACAGATGATGGTATTTTGAGTAATCCTCTTTGCTGCTGCTGAGCAACGTCTTCAAAACTCTGTCCGTGCTGCTGTTGCCCAAGCTGATCCTCCCGTGCCTTAACAACGTTGTGAGGGTCACCAGCTCCTCTGTTTGGGGCAGTACCTGGGCCTGCTGCCGTGTTATTGTTGTTATTTGGATTGGGAGCAGTGGTGGCAAGCCAGGTTGTTGAATCCAGCTGGGCCATGGGTGTGCGCAGGGACACCTGGCGGTAATCAAACCTAAGAAATGAAAATTGAATTGCTTAGAATCTATGTTCACTATTTAACGGGTCAAGTAAACTGTATACATGATGGTCATTCAGTAAGTTATTTGCGTACAACTGACAGCAACAAATGGTGAGTATACACACTGAAATGCAATGACATGTTTTGTAAATGCATCTGCCTGGTGAGTGTAGAGGGTGATCATAAAGTTGCCCAAATGGCAAGCATGTGTAACATGCAGTAAAAAGCAAGTGACACATTCATGAGAACAAAGCGAACTGAAACAGTAATGCTGCAGTAGCAAGAACCAAGCGTGCAATGATAACATGTGATAACTGATAACTTACCCTACCTGAGCAATTTTATGACTGTACAGCGGCTCAATAACTCAGCTGTGTTCAACACATTAATTAATTCATATACTGGGGGGTGGAATCCGGCTGGGTCCACTCAGCACAGCAGCCACTGACTGGCCTACTGTACCTGCCCCGGGTGATTATGATTATGGACAATTTGGTGGAATGAAGACTGGCAGGGGAAACCGAAGTACTCAGGGAAAACCCGACCCAGTGCCACTTTGTCCACCACAAATCCCAATTGACCAGACCAGGGATTGAACCTGGGCCGCTGTGGTGGGAAGCCATTGACTAACCGCATGGACTATGGCACGTGTTCAACACATACTTTACAGCTTTCTGTGTCAATATCACTAATGAAACATGAATACCAATCTATAATTCAATTTCTCACAACAGGGGGAAAATTCCTAAAGAGATAAACAATCAAGAATCTAATGCCTATGGGAAATCTTTGCATATTATTAAAGTCCATGTGCTTAATTAATTAAGCACTATCCCATGAAGGCATATGGGGGAGCGGATGTACAGATCCATGTATTCTTGGCTCAAGTTCTCTCTGGTATTTAAATGAGACTTTACTACATTTTACTACATTCGATGGGTCTGCCTCAGTGGTCTAGCGGTAATGTGCTTGCCAATGGACCTGAGATTCATGGATTCAAACCCAGACACAACCCCATTTTCTGTGCAAGGTGTGAGGGTTGTTTCAAAACGTTCAAGCCTAGAACCCATTTCATCTTAATTCTCATCAGTGCACACTCAGTGTACTGATTCAGTTCTTTTTTTAATCCAATAACAAATCTATCTTTTTTTAATTTATATACTACTGCATGAAAGGAGCTCAGATACTGTAGTCGGTATAGCAACCGGCTAGGGGCTGGACAACTGAGGGGTCAGAGTTCGAATCCCTGTAGGGTCAAGAATTTTCTCTTCTTGTCATCCAGACTGGCTCTGGGGTCCACCCAAAATCCTATCCAGTGGGTACTGCGGACTCTTTCCCTGGGAGTAAAGTGACCAAGTGAAGGTGACCACTGACCTATAGCTAGCATGAAGATCCAGAAAATGTGGATCTATAAATCCACTTCCCTAAACGTCTTCATGGCATAGTGCTTAATTAGTTAAGCACAGGGACAACTTTACCTTACTAATGTAAGGTAATGTAAGGGTTTTTCTATTTGGAACTGCAACATCCTTAAGTTTACACTGGAATCTTACTTTTTTTACACAACCACTTTTCACACTGGTATTGAACACATATACAAATGCTGTTCCAATGGGTAACAAATACATGGTGTTTTGACGCAGGAAGTAACACAGCTAACTAAGCATTTAACATAGTAGCAGGAGCTTCAGATTATGGTTCACCACCACATAAAACATAACGTTGCTCCATGGCAGCTGACAATCATTTATTCGGGCAGTACTGAAGAGAAATTCTGTACAGGGTCTTGGTTTGTCTAGAATACCAGTCAGCCTAGGTTGACACAAGCGGCCATACACTCAGGTAGCCCTCAGATGATCACATTATAGAATCATCTGACCAACATAAACAGAATTAAGTGGTATGTAATATGCTTATAAGTAACCTCTACAGGGAAGCCTGGCATGGTCAAGAAAATTATAATATTTCATTGTAGTCCTGTAAAATTAATTCCAAGCCGTAACATGTTTGGGACATTTTATATTTCAGATGCAAGGGAAAAGATTCCAAATATACCAAATATTTTGGCAGACACTTTCACACCATAAATCAAATCAATTTGTGTGTAAAAATGTAAACACTGTATTAAGTACTTGTCCAGGAAGTGCTTCTGCTGTTACAATCACCAAGAAGCAATTCATTACAATTAGTGACTCATGCCATATCAGTAGATTCCAAGCCTTATCATTCTGCAAACCCTCTCCTCAAAAAATTATAAATGAATGTTATTTTTTTTATTGCTAGTGGGGTGGGACTAAGTCTCTTGTACTGCGGCCACATTAAACTAATAAGATCTAAATGTTTGTGACGATGGTACATTAGTACAAATATTTTGATTTTGGACATTATCTATGGTCCTGTCTTTATCTAAAAACACCATCCTGTTTATTTTTCAAAACACAACGTTCTGGAGACTGGATTCTGTCTCCAGTTTCAGGTAAAACCTACTCAGTTGGGCCCAACTGATGGAGCTAGTCCCTATCTCCAAGCACATGTCCCATCTCCAAGATGGGGTATACACACCAAACACAGCATAAACTGTCTATGTATAACACAGACCATCAGTAATGCAACAATTGTTCCTTTTTCTTCCACTTATACTTTAACACAACATGTTTCGGCCTTAGATGGCCATCCTCAGGTGTCTTAGTATATCAAACTGCTACACTGCATTAATATGCTTTGGTGCACTTAATAAAATTAATTAAAATAAAACAAAATCCATTAAAACTTCTCGTCACTTGGGTGACAATTTTAATGGATTTTATTTCATTTTAATTTACTTATGGCAAAACCTTCCTTTACACAAATAATGTGATTTATTTTTCACATAAGTATCATACAGAGAAATCCACTGCTCAAGTGTATATTTTACTGTTCCAGTTCAGTATTGTAAATGAGAACATGAAACAGACTTCTGAATAATCTTACAAGAACGGGAACACAAATAGAACTGATATATATCAGCTAAGTCATTTGCATGTGCAGTGACACCTGTAGAAGAAGAATATTAAGAGAGACTGAGCAGTAATGCAGCTGACAGTTTGCCATCTGTTTGCCATGTAGAGCATGTTCAGCTGCCATGTGCAAGTTTTCCATTGGTCTGGCAAACCCAACATGACTGGTCCATAAGGGCTTTCTATCCACACACACAGAAAACTGCAAAGTTGTAAACCTGTTTTTCGAAATACCCAAAATATATTTTATGCAACTTCTGGATTCTTTTCAAGTATTTTGACAGAGAATCATATACATTCAGTGAAGCTGAAATGCTTTTATTAACTGAAGGACTGACTTCCAAGTTGAAAATTATACATTTTTATTTACAAATTTAGTCTGAAAATGAATATGAAATGTTACTCTTAAGCAGAAGGATCTTTATAAAACTCTGAAAGCACTGTAGGATTGCATTTACAAAGATGAAAACTTTTACCCGGAGGAGGAAAAAAAAAATGGGAGTGGACTTCGCCCCATTGCAAAGAAATTAAAATTTGAAATTATGAACCAAAACATCATCATCCTTCTTCTGGAGACTGGCATAAAAAAAAAGATATGGCAACACTGTTAGACATAACATGCCAATGAGAATACAGAATTGAGTCATTACAAAAGAACTCTACAAGCAGGGATGTTCAATGCATAGGAGCCTTCTAGAAAAAAAGAAGACTCTGTAGGCCTGCTCCTAATGATGCTATTCTTAACACTAAATACTGATTGTCATTTCGAAGAATATACATGAACAGGCGGTCTTTACAGTTATGATTACTTGTGCATTAAAAAAAACACTGCTCATAGTATGTGCACCAAAAATATTTCTTGAATTTCTTGAATCAAGTTTTTATATTTGCACTGAAGAGATTTGTTATATCAATGTTCTGTTTGCATCATGTAAATTGATTGTTTTTTTGTTTTTTTTTTGGCATTATAATTTGTATGATTTGATTGATGTAGGTGATTGTATCTATGAGACTTATGTAATTTTGTATGACCATTGTAAAACGGACTATTTCCATATCCTGGGTTGTATCTATATATGGATACATCATCATCATCATCAGTAATCTGTCAAGACGACAGGTCCACAGTCTCTTCCAAAACAATTCCTCCACTTGATGCAATCTAGAGCTTTCTCCTTCAAATGACAGTATCCTCTTCTGTCCCCAAGGTAATCCAGCATCTTCTTACGTCTTCTTCCTCGACTTCTTGTCACTTCTATCCGCCCATCTATCTTTCCTTCGATAGCTTCTTTTAGAAGGCAGTTTCTGCGTAAAACATGACCAATCCAATTAGCCTTCCGTTTTCTTATTTCATGTAGGATATTCCTCTGCTCACTGACTCTAATTAACACTTCTTCATTTCTCACATAATCGGTCCAACTGATCTTCTCCATTCTTCTCCAACACCACATTTCGAAACTTTCCAGATGTTTCTGATCTACTGCCCTAAGTGTCCATGTTTCAGCCCCATACAGAGCTATGCTCCAAATGTAGCATTTCACTAGTTTCTTCCTCAAATTTAAGTCCAATTTGCTGGTAAAAAGATTCTTCTTCTTGCTAAATGCAGCTTTTGCCATGGCAATCCTGGATTTAATTTCACAAGTACACCTTCCATCATCTGTTAACAAGCTACCCAAATATTTAAAACATTTCACATTCTCCACTTGTTTTTGGTCTATCTTTATTGTGACTGGGGTTGGTTGTCTCAAAATTTTCATTACTTTTGTTTTCTCCACATTCATTTCCATGCCATAGCACCTTCCAATTTCAATTAGTCTATCAATCATGCCCTGCAGCACAGTTTCTTCCTTAGCCATTAACACATTAACACAAGGTCATCTGCATATTTCACATGCATGGAAAATAAATGAATGAATGAATGAAGCAGAGGAAAGTGCATCTATCTGCTTTCATCAAGAAAAATGACAGCTATCAAAATATCACACTGCAATCCACCAGAAACACTAAGAAAATTATAAAGTGAAAGTATAAACACAGACTACAGATACTCAAGCTATATCAGAAATATGTACATCGTGTAGAAATAGGGGTTTGGAGAGTATTTAAGAAAACAAAATATCTCAAGAAAGCATACATGTCAGAAATGCTTCTGACAAAGATTTTGAAGAATTGCAAGTTGAAAATCTAAACTGCTCTGTCACCATGTCAAGGTGCACTCCAGCAAAGCTACAGTGTTGCAAAAATAAAGAGAAATAGATTACGAGGGGGAGGAGGGGACTGCACAAGCAAGTCACTTCAAACATTGCTAGGGTACTCAATTTTAACAGTTCATCACTAACTCAAATCCTAGATAATACAAGTAATCAAACTTGAAAATGATGTTATAACCTTTCTATTTTAATGGATGAAGTACAGTTAAACTGCCGACATCTTCTAAAAGAAGGTTCTACAATTGGTGACGCTACTGCCAATCAGCATGAGAGTTAAAAAAAAAAAGTAAAAGGTAAAGTTATCCCTGTAACAGGCCGTGAAGGCCCATACGGTTGTGAGACGTTGAGAGTCCCACATTATCTAGACAATCGGTTCAAAGATGGTGGTAAGGTTGTCAGTCTTACGCACCGGCCGCACTTTACTCCAGGAAAATTATTTAATTAATTCCTGGTACTCATTTCTGTTAGAGGCTGAGTGGACCCCAGGGCCATATTGCAGTTGGAAGGATTAGGTCAATTGAAAAAAAATCCAATGACCTCATCGGGATTTGAACCCATGACCTTACAGCTTGCAGCATAGTGATTCAACCAACTATGCTACCACGTCCACCCATGAGAGTTCAAAGGAGAGCAAATAAATTTCAAGTTGCTAAATATGTGGTAAATAAAGCTCATATATTAAAAAACAAACATGGCATTCTAGCTGAACCAGCAAAGAACATGGGGGGAAAACATTTTCTGAAGAAACTGTACAGAAAGTAGAGGCATGTTATGAAGCTGAAATTATCAATTAAAAGTACAGTCTAGAAAAGAATTCATACACACACAAAAAAATACTATTTAATTTCAACATATGGAATTTAAAGCACAGTACCAGTCTTTAAAAAAATGGATTCTCAAAAATTGTGTTCTTTAGGGCCACCATGGTGCAAAACAGCGGAATCCAGGGGAATAAATTCAGAGAGAGAATGAGCACACATGCGAAATGCACCATAATTTAAAGTTACTTGATGCTGCACTAGTAAAACAGAAAGACTAATTTTTTCTTTTTGAAAATTTGGTATGCTCCAGAGTCTCTCATAATTTTATGCTCCATAGAAGTTGAAAATGTGCTGGCACAGTAAACTGCAAAACGTTACCAAGATTTAAGGCCATGGACTTTGATGCAGAATACAGAAGAGTTTATAAGCAGTGGGTTTATGAAGATCATACAAAACCTGTACCCATTATAAGTACCCCTGGAGGACTGACTGAAGATATCTGACAAACAACAGGCAATAAGCCATCATACAACAAAATCACAAGCCTCATATCTGAAGATGCTGAAAGAAACCACTCTGCCAGACACCGTAGCTACTATTTTACTTGACTTTCCAAAGAATTATTCTTTTTTACACCAAGATGCCATACAAGGGTTCCACTGACAAATTGATCAGGCCACTCTGCCACCTTTTACTTTTTATTAAGGCACATCAGGACCAGAAGAAGAGAGTGCCAAATTTCTGTGTCACCAATGACTGTTTTGATCATATAGCAATTACTGTCCACTCTTTCATAAGCTGCATTGTACATAACTTTAGTTTCCAATGTGTTATCATGTTTAAAGAAGACGTATATTATTTTGGTGAAGGTGACAGTTCACAGCACAAGACTTCTTGCACTGATGTGACGGAAATTTTCATGTAGCTGCTGAGTGGAATTTCCTTGCTACTTTGCATGGCAAAGTCCATACAATGAGAATGTTGAAACAGTAATGCAAGTTGTAGTATGTACTAGTCTTCAAGAAAGAGAGAGAAACCATACTCAACAGCAGATGATGTACATAAATGGACCACAGAATATATTACAGAAATTACATTCTTCTACACAACACAGACACAAATCAAAACACATGTCCTCAGACTGACAGCTGGGTTACAATTTTCTAAAACTGTTCCTGGTACCTCAACACTTCAGATTGTAAGATACATCTGTTATCATCAGACAAAGAAAATGTGGGTACCAAAGATGAGTGTTAAAATAAGCCATTTATATCCCAGAAAGGGTGCTGCTGCTGTACACTGAGTGATACATCAGGATCACTGCACACAATGATGAAGAATATTGCGGCACGTTGACCTGTTGCTAGACAATGCCTGCAACACACATGTGGCCAACAGTAGAGGAACAGTGTTTTCCACGTCTGCAGACAGGCTGTTGCTATGCAACACATGCACTCTGATGTCATGTTGTATATGACGGTGTGATGCATTAGATATTATTAATGTAACAGGTATTGGTGGATAGAATAATTACAATGGTTACGGTTTATAAGTAACATTTTATTGAATCTGAATGTAATATCTATTGGAAATTATGAAATGTAACAGCACTGGTTTGTCACATACTGTAACTCGACTTTCACCGATGTTATCTGCCAGAGGGCAAACAAGACTTATTTTGAACTAAGGGAAGCAAATAAGAATAGTCACGTTGCTTCACAGAGAACCTGGAAAACATCAGTTAAAGTCCGAGAAACAAGCCAAGTCCAATAAAACAAGCCAAAGTCCAAGAAAACAAGCCAAGGTCCAGGAAGACCCACCATATGAAATAACAATAGAATGTTCTAGAACATTCCTATATGATGAACTTTGTACCTTGCAAGGAAGCTTTCATACAACCCCCACCCCACAAGCAGGGCTATAAGAACCCTGACCCAAACAGTCCAGAATGCTCTCTAATCTGATTTCGAAGTTTAGTCTATAGGACGGTACTCTGTCAGTTAGGAGTCGGCCACTGCTAAAGCCTTAAGCAGACTTGCTGTTCTTACAGTTGTACATATTTACTGTGTAATAAACTCTCTTGAATTAAGCATTTTCCAGCAGTTTATCTCCACCAAAATGATGGACAACGTTTGCCACTCGACCGACTCCGTCAAGACCAACCCACAAGTATGAGTATCCACTCTATCGCCTGACAGGCATACGACAGTCACACAACAGTATGTGGCCATCATGTGACATGTTTCCTGTGCAGGTGATGATGTCACACAACAGTAGTGGGTAACGATCACATGACATCTGTTTACGATGATGCATTGTCTGTCCCTTGGCTATATAAGTGAGTGACATAGCTAAGTTGGGAGTAGTTAGTTACGAGATGTGAGAGAGAAATAGCAGCAGAAGCATGCAAGAGTAGTACAGAAGAATACAGGAGATTGGCCTGTGAGATGTAAAGTGTGACTGAAGGATTATATATGTAATATCTGTAGTGTTTTGAAGTGATAGTTTCCCTGTTCAGATCCGTTGCTAGGAGACGACTAGTAGAAGACAGAGAATCCTAGTGTGTGCAACAGTGAACTGGAAACTGTGTAAATCAGCGACAGCACTGTATTGTCTGTATTTAAGTGTGATTAAGACAACGTGTGTAACTGAAGTGCTAATAAATCTAATCAGCCAAACTAGAACCCATAATTTTGTTACGTGTACCATCCTACACATGACAATATCTACACAGTCAGTTTCCATGCAGTTGACTTTGCTTCTCATGGATGTTTCTTAATACCAGTACCAGAAAATGTTTCTAGTCTTCATTATGAAGGCAAGGCAATGTCAAATGAGGCTATCTCATTTCACTTCTATTACATCATGTTGCCAAGTTAAGAACAGCAACACTTACTCCAAGAGGCTGTAACTTTCTAATTCAAATATACATTAATTCTTTCGGATTTAACAATGATTTCCTTCCATTTTCTGAATAACAAGAAAAGCAAATATCTGTTACATTCCTACAGCATTACGATCCTAAAGCTGCACAATATAATCAAAGCTTTCACAGGCTTGAGTGTGAGTAAAATGTTTCTGTGGGAGGTACTCACATGTGTTGCAGATGTAATAATCACAACAAGGCCTTAAAATATCATGGTATCAGCAACCATCATTCAGAGAATCACCTGTAATTGAAGAATAAATCTATTATATGTTTGTATTGAAGGGAAGTTGGAGTTCAATTAGGCTTAGAAGTTATACAGTTTAGATATATCATACAGCTCACATGTTCATGGACCCTTTATAGGCCAAACTCAATGAACTGTCATAATACAAAACTTGGTTCATCCTGGTCCGTCACACAAGTAATTGTATATAAGATTTTCTATCCACTGTCCAGTGTGATTGATAAAAGTTGTGTTTTTAATCTTTCACCCTTCACATGTTTCAGTCAAAACAACCGTCTTTAGAGGGATATTATCAACATATATGCAAACACGCTGAGTAAGCTGTATAACTGGACCATGAGACCAAAGAGTCCTGATCGTGAGACAATGAAACTGCACTATGACACATATTCATCTTCCGTTAAGAAGAAATGTAACTACATGAACCACACTGGTTTTAGAATATAACAAATATTGTGCACTACTTTGTAAACAGACTAATTATAATAATTTTTAGATGTTTTTAAGATACTGATATATGTCTTAGTATTAGTTAAATGATATAAAGTAAAAAAGTAAAGGTATTCCCGTAACAGGCCGTGAAGTCCCATAGGAATGTGAGACATTGAGGGTCTCACATTATCTAGACAATCGGCTCACAGATGGCAGTGAGGTTGTCAGCTTTACGCACTGGCTACACTTTACTCCCCACGAAAATTATTTAATTAATTCCTGGTACTCATTCCTGTTAGAGGCTGAATTGACCCCAGGGCCATAGTGCCGCTGGAAGGATTAGGTCAATTGGAAAAAATCCAATGACCTCATCGGGACTTGAACTCACGACCTTCCGGCTTGTAGCATAGTGCCTCAACCAACTACGCTATCAGGTGCCCCCAGTTAAATGATATAATATTGATATCTATGTCACAGTAATAGCAGTTTCCTTATGTGCTGATAATATCCTTCTGAAGATGGTCATTTTGACCAAGACATGTAAAGGATGAAAGTTTAAAAACACAACTTTTATTGATGACACTGGATGATGGTTAAAATATCTTATATACAAATACACTACTTTTTTTTTCAATATACACACAAACACATCTGATAATACAGCATTACACCAAAATAATTATATCAAAGAACTATCATTATTTCCTGCATGTATTTAAAACTGAGAATTTTTAAGATAAACTCTTCTACATGGTGGAAGGAGTGAGACAGGAGATACTCTTTTAGTGTTGGATTATATATGTCTGTATCTTCCAGCTCAAGTTATTATCAGTCTGAAGGCAAAGAAATTCAGCTGTTTCTACTTCTTCAGTCATTTTATTATCACATCCTGTATTCGGAATAATACAAATTCTGTCACTGATACTAAATTTCATTAAATTTGTTCCATCACAATTTAGGGTATGTTTATTAACTTTAAATCATTCAATGAAGCTAGCAAANACTCCTTTTTGAAAACTAGTTAAGTTAGCTTGAGGTAGATAAAGATACCCATGTCATCAGAAAATAGTATGGGTTTAAACTGAAAGATAATGGTGATGTACATATCATTGATATGTGTGAGAAACAGCATAGCACCAAGCACTGAACCTTCAGAAACTCCCCAGTGTGTGTGCGGGTTCCATAATCTGGGTCTGGTACTTTTAATTCCAGTTTCTGCTTCCTCTCATGAAGGTATGAATTAATTCAGCATTTAGCTATACCACAAATTCCATCAAAACTTAGTTTCAACAGTAATATTTCATGGCTTGCACAATCAAATGCTCTAGATCACAAGATATTCCACCAATAAGCTTTATACTATTAAGGGCACATAAGATTTCATCTGTAAAACTGAAGTTTTACCTTTTGTGGGATTTTATTTTCTAAATTCATGCTTTATATTTGCAAGGGTGTTGTTCTTTCTAAGAAATCACTTTCTTATACATAACTTTCTAAAGAATTTTAGAGAATGCTGCTGGTAATTAATTTTGTCAGCAGTTTCACTTTTGAATATTTAAGTCTTCTAGGAAAGCTCCTATTGCCAATGATTGAAAGAAAAAAAAAGATAATAATGTAGTCTGTGAAAACCTTTACAGTAATTTCGTTGATATTTCACCACAACAACAGAAAACAAGGAAATGAATGCTATTCAACTTCACTTAAGAATATGTTATTAGGAAGGTCCAGGAAAACCAGGTGGGGCTCAAACAGAATGGCATACATCAGTTTCTGGTCTATGCCGACAAAGTTAATCTACTGGGAGATAACATAGATACCATAAAGAAAAACAGAAACTCCAATTGAAGCTAATAAGGAGGTTAGTCTAGAAGTAAATGCAGAGAAAATTAAGTATATGTTACTGTATCTTTACCAGAATGCTGAGAAAAATCATAACATAAGGTAATAGTTCCTCTGAAAATGTGGCAAAGTTAAGATATTTGGGGACAACAGTAACAAATCAAAATCTGATTCATGGGAAAATAAAGAGCAGATGGAATTTGGGCAATGCTTGCTACCATTCAGTTCACGACCTTCTTCTGTCTTATTGTCTGCTGTCTAAAAACGTACATGTCAGACGATGACAGTTGTATATGGGTGTCACTGACATTAAAGGAAGAACATGGCCTGAGGGTGTTCGAAAAGAGGGTGCTGAGGAAAGCCTCTGGACCAAGGAGGGTTGAAATGATAGGAAGTTGGAGAAAACTGCATAATGAGCTCCACTTCTAATCTTTGCCATATATTATTATAAGTATCAAATCAAGGAGGATGGGATGGTGAGGTAAGGTAAAAGGTTAAGCTCTCACTGTAACAGGCCACGAAGGCCCATAGGGTTGTGAGACATCAAGGCTCCCACAATTTCTACACAATCGATTCACAGATGGTGGTAAGGCCATCAGCCTTATGCGCTGGCCACACTTTAACCCCCAGGAAGATTACTGGTACTCATTTCTGTTAGAGGTTGAGTCGACTTCAGGGCCACAGTGGAAGAATTAAGTAAATTGAAAAAATCCAGTGACCTCAGCAGTAATTGAACCCACAGCCTTCCCGCTTGTAGCACAGTGCCTCAACCAACTATGCTACTGCATGTGCCCCAGAGAACAGGATGGGAATGGCATACAGCAGTGTTTCCCAACCTTTTTCACGCCGCGGACCCCCTGTACCGAACGTTAATTGACCACGGCCCCCATAAAACCCCGAATGGAATTTTTTTATATTTTACATATCATGAAAGTGAAGCAGTAACTTACAATTTTACAACACCAAATGTGTCATTTATGACAGTAAAATACTGTTATAAATGGAGTTTATTCAGAAGATTACAAACATATCACTTAGGCCTAATATTATGAATTTAACACTCTCCTAACCAACGATCCACACTTTAACCACCGATCCATATCTAAAT